AACCCTAACCCTAACCCTAACCCTAACCCTAACCCTAACCCTTACCTTAACCTAATCGCGCTTTCGTCGGCGCGCATTTATCGGCGCACTTCTGTGGGCGCGATTTCATTCTCACTGTTTTCTCACTGTGGTTTTGTCGGCGCGCTTTTGTTGAGTGCGCATTTGACGGGTCACAGATTAATCAATTCATAAAATAACTATAAGGGACAATCACCAGATTGGGCTCATCTTTGATGGAGGGAAAGGTTTGCATTGATTTTATTTTATTTATTTAGTCTGTCACTCACGTACAAGACAAGAGGAATAAGAATAAACACGAATAAGAGCAGAGGAAATGGGGACAATTAAACGGGGACAGTAGGACAGGGACGGTGGGCACGCTGGTGCGCTTATGCACGCCCCCTTTACAGACCTCTTAGGAATGGGGTGAGCTCCACAGTAGACAGTTTAAGGTTAAAGCTTTGGGGGTTTGGGGAAGAAACCACAGAGTCAGGTAGAGCATTCCAGGCGTTGACCCCTCTGTTGCTGAAGTCGTATTTTCTGCAATCGAGTTTGGAGCGGTTGACCTTAAGTTTGTATCTATTGTGTTCCCGTGTGTCATCGCGGTTGAAGCTGAAGAAGTCGTTGACAGGTAGGACATCGTAGAAGATAATTTTGTGTACTACGCTCAGGTTGGATCGAAGGCGGCGTAGTTTCAGGTTGTCCAAGCGCCCAAAATTTCGAGCATGGTGGTATAAACTATTCTGTTGTGAGCAGAGGAGTGGAGGACTCTTCTCGTGAAATACCTCTGGACTCGCTCGATTGTGTTAACGGCCGATTTCCCCTTTTTTTTAATTCTTCACTGGGAAGAATTCACTTGGGGAATGGCAACAGCCTGCGGAGCTACACCGGGAGTCCTCAACTTACAACAGTTGACTTAGCAACCTTTCAAAGTTACAACGGCACTGAAGGAGGTGACTATTTTTCACACTTACCACCATGGTAGCATTCCCACAGCCTTGCCTGATTTACATTCAGATGCTTTGCAATTAACTCACACTTGTGACATTCGCACAGTGTCATCAGAAAAGTCGTAAAATGGGACAGAATTCACTGGGCAAATTTCTCACTTAGAGACATAAATTTGGGGCTCAGTTGTGGCCGTAAGGTGAGGACGGCCTGGATTAACGTAGATGAACTTGTATAATAGTGAATTTCATCATTTCATTTTATAATAAATGAAAGGATAAAGAGGAACACGTCCTCATCTTTGCTCCCTGGTCCTCCGTTGCTTTCCTTTCCCTAAAATGCCTCGGTGTTATCGGTGCAAAAACCAAACATTTACAGATGTATAAAAACGGGGGAGGAATTGGCACGCTTACTTCTCTGGACGGAAAGGATGTCTATGTGGCCTCTGGAGGTCCCAACGTTGACATTCTTTGCCAGTTTCCGTGTGATCCATTGGCCCCCTGTAGCCTTCCCCATTGCATGTCATGCACTCCACTGAAAGGCAGAAAACACGACAATCTCACTAAGGTGATTGGGAAGGGGAGGGAAGGAGGGGGAGGAGAGAGGAGAGGAGAAGGGGAAAGGAAAAGAAGGGAAGGGAAGAAAATGAGAAAAGAAGGGAAGGGAAGGAGGGGGAGGAGAGAGGAAAGGAAAGGAAGGAAAGGAAAATAAGGGAAGGGAATGAGAAAAGAAGGGAAGGGGAGGGAAAGAGGGGGAGGAGAGAGGAGAGGAGGGGAAAGGAAAAGAAGGGAAGGGAAGGAAATGAGAAAAGAAGGGAAGGGAAGGAGGGGGAGGAGAGAGGAGAGGAAAGGGGAAGGGCAGGGAGGAAAGGAAAGGAAAAGAAGGGAAGGAAATGAGAAAAGGAGGGAAGGAAAGGAAAGGAAAGGAAGGGAGAAAGGAAAGGAGAGGAAAGGAAGGAAAGGAAAAGAAGGGAAGGAAATGAGAAGGGAAGGAAATGAAAAAAGAAGGAAAGGGAAGGGAAAGAGGGGGAGGAGAGAGGAGAGCAGAGGAAAGGAAGGAAAGGAAAATAAGGGAAGGGAAGGGAATGAGAAAAGAAGGGAAGGGAAGGAGGGAGAGGAGAGAGGAGAGGAAAGGGGAAGGGCAGGGAGGAAAGGAAAAGAAGGGAAGGAAATGAGAAAAGAAGGGAGGGAAAGGAAAGGAAAGGGAGAAAGGAAAGGAAGGAAAGGAAAAGAAGGGAAGGAAATGAGAAAAGAAGGAAAGGAAAGGAAAGGAAGGGAGAAAGGAAAGGAGAGGAAAGGAAGGAAAGGAAAAGAAGGGAAGGAAATGATAAGGGAAGGGAAGGGAAGGAGGGGGAGGAGAGAGGAGAGGAGAGGAAAGGAAGGAAAGGAAAATAAGGGAAGGGGAGGAAAGGAAGGGAAGGGGGAATAAGGGAAAGGAAGGAAATGAGAAAAGAAGGGAAGGGAAGGAAAGTAAAGTACAGGAAATGAGAAAGGAAAGGAAGGGAAGGGAAGGGAAAGGAAAGAAAAGGAAGGGAAGGAAATGAGAAAAGAAGGAAAGGGAAGGAAGGGTAGGGAGAAAGGAAAGGAG